TCAGCCATCACCCACCTGACTGTGACCAGCTTAAAAAAATCGGTATTCAGGCATTGTGCCTTCAGTTGTTTCACTGCTAGTGTGTTTACTTTTTTAGCATACGAAATCGGCTGGGTGCTAAGTTGTAAGTTTTTTCAAGGGGAAGGGCACCGCCGTACTACAGGTGGCTTTGTGCCAAATGCCCAAGAGGCTAGAGTTTAGTGGTAAAGTCGGGAGACGGAAGAGAGGGAGAGAGGGGGGGGGAGGGGAGGTGCGACCCGAAATTTCGTACATGCACCTTGCCAGTCGTAGGGGCTAGTACGGTCCTGCAACCTTGTGATGGCTGAGACTCAGAACCATGATACTGGCGTTGACTTAACCAAATGGTAAGATGTGGTTATGTAGCCACACTGCTTGACAGTTCGACCATCGATTTCGATGATGTCCACCGTGTGCCCTACAGCAGGTTGGAGCAGGGACGGTGACTTGCGCAGGGGTTTATAGTGCCAGTAGACTTGCGCTGCATCTACCTGCACTCTCGCCTCCTCCCCCGCCTGGGCCCCGTGTCAAGACGAAGTCAAGAAGACCGGAGACGAGGGAGACCGCAGGTGGATGGCTCGGACGGATCCTCACCTTGGCGTTCCACCACACCCCCTGGTCCACACAACAATAACCAGGATTTCAACCAACACAGCAGAGATTTGGAGGCTGGCACGGCCGAAGCCGCACCTAGGCGTGCCACCAACGCCTGGCTCGGATCCCACACTGTGGTGGGAATGCCATAAAGCCCGCATTAAAAAGGAGCCATTGCAGCCTGACTCTCAGACCGCCTCCCGTTAAGGAGGAGGTCCAAGGTACCCCGTCAGTTGGCAACCTTCCAAGCCACGGCTTTTAGCGCACCGTGATAGCTTCAAGCGCGTCAGATTGATTATAGTGAGAAATGTGCGCTGAGTCGTCGACCTCACTCTCCCTTCCCATTCCCACACCCCAGCCGCCGTCCGAGCCGGTCGGCAAACTGGAGTGGGGAACGCTGACCTACTTAATTATTTTGAGTCGGTGCGGTTACGTTGGCATGGTGTTGCTGTGCGTTGTGGTGTGTGTTCTGTTGACGGCCTTGCTTCTTTTCGGCCCAATGTCGGTGGTCCTTTCTGACTTTCGGCCTGTCGTCTCCTTCCAACTGTCGCTTTGGATGTTTCAGGGTTAGGGTTTAGGGCTGCGGTTAAGGGCTAGGTTGGGGTTAGGGATAAGGGTTAGGAGTTAGGGTTATGGTTAGGGTTAGGGATTGGTGCAACTATTTCTCAACCACTCAGAGTACGACCGCGCATTCCCAATAGCTTTTCTTTTGCATAAAACTACTTGACCTCGTCGCCTGTGCGTTTCCCGGACCCTATGACCACCGGTGTCTGGGGTTTGTTTACCTCAGGCGCGACTGCATTTGACCAACCAAATTCTGCATTTGCACAGTACATTTACCAAATGAAATCCACGAGCACAAATATTCACACCTGTGTGTGTGAGCGCTCGTTCGTGTGTGAATCTTGCAATGGATCTGGTGACAGAAATCGGATATCTCTGACCTTTCTGGTGCACATAACGGACCGAATTACGAGTCGTTTTTCTGATTGTCTGTCGCCTTTACTGTGTAGAAAGGGTGTTGGGGAGCTGATTCAGCTCGACGTCCACTGAAGCAACGAGGATCGACCATAGCCCTTCCTGACCCACCAGGTAGGCACAGCAATTGGACTATGTAGGAGATTGGAATGTTGTCGTCACACATTCCTAGTGACAACACTTCCTTCGTAATGCAGTGCGTTGTAGCCGTTGTTGCAGTTTGCTTATTAGTCGTGGTCAGCCAGTCATACCCAACCCCGAAATGTGGAACACCTGGGGTTCGATCCACCGAACTGTTGGTTAGAAGTCCACGCCACTAACCACTGTGCCACGAGCCCGTTGCCCTGTCGGTTTCGATCGGGAATATACAATGGTAGGGGGGTGCTCACCGATAGTTCTTACGGAACTCACTCGTTCCGTTGTGCCTTACGGGCTCACTCTCTCGAGCCCAACCAGCAGCCGCACAGCGGCGCATGATATAGGCAGTATGTTATTACCGACACCTACCATTGTATATTCCGGATCGAAACCGACAGGGCAACGGGCTCGTGGCCCGCAATGGTTTATCACATTTTTGGAAGCATCCGACGTACCTGATCGGGGCCTGCTACACATTTGACAGTTCGATCGTCGCAAGTGACGAATTCTACCATGTGCACGTGACTTCGTCTATATATATAGACAGAGAGTTAGACTTGCGCGGTACCCATCGCACACTCTTCCGCCGCTCATCTTGTTCAAGCGGCAAGCCCGCATCTAATTTTACACCCAACTCTAGGGGCAGTTTTTTTTGCAAGTAACCATTGGCCACCCATGGCTTGTCAAGTTTCCTGTAGATGGGCAACTAGACGGACCATGACATAGGTCAATCAGGCAAGGAGTGTTTCCAGGGTATAATTATCCTAATTTGTTTGCAGATTACTCACTCTAGGAAGTGATTTGTGATGGCATTTCTGCTCTAGGCGGTATTGCAACTCATTTTGCATGGCCATTTTGGAGGTTGGCTCCTGATTGCCCTTGCACACTGAAACAAGCCCACTTCTCTGTTGAACCTCGGAAAAGGCTGTGCAAAATTTTGGTGTCTGCTGAATGACGACTGCCACATTCTTGGCCACACAAGTAGTCAGAGTTCTTGCGACCGGTTTAATCGAGCCGGAGTAGAACAGTCTGGTAGCTAGATAGGAAGGCATAAATTCCCTGCCCGAATCCAGTTGACGTTCATCATGACCACCTTTCTTGACGCACAACCTCTTTGGGACTTTTGTATCTCATTTTCTGCTGCATTTTGAACTCCATACGTGCTCCCCGCCTTGATGTGTCTTCTGTCTCATCCCTATATCAACCGTGCTTCAAGCC